TGAAATGATTGAGCTCAGCTACAGGCAACTTGGTCCCCTCTGATGCCTCAAGAAAAAATATTAAAGTGATGTTGTAGCTGTGATGGTCCAGGAGATATGCGAGAGGCAAGAATTTTTGTGGGTGATATTTTTTTTGGACTAATGAATGGCTGAGGTAGACAAGCTTTTGGGTATTACAGCACCCTTCCTTGGGTCTCTGGAAGGGGGGGAAATGCTGTATTGTAGAAAGACTGAAGCTTGTTCTTTAGTAATTTAACCATGGCACTTGTAAATGCAACAGCAATATCTCTTGGGCCTGAGCAACTTAAATTCAGTCAACTCAAGGAGGCCTGTAAGGTGTCAGAGACTTGGATGTAACTGAATGGACAAATCTTTGCGGGGTGACTGCCGCCTTGTTCATGAGTCCCCAAACACGACTTTCAGGCCTTGATTTTGAAAAGGGATAAGCATGTGGATAAGCATGATGAACCTATCATGCTGGAAACCCAGGTGTGCTAGTAAAGAGGTGATGGAGCTATCAAATGCTGCAGCCAGCCAAGGCACATCTGCACCTCCATATGCTTACAGTTGGAAAACAGAATGCTAAGAAAGGTATTCACTTTTTCTGAGTGCCAAGGATGTCCTGTTTAACACGGTAGCTGAAATGACAGGCCCTTGATAGACACTTGAAGTAAGAAAAGTCCTGCTCAGATTAACAAAACACACCATTAGTAATGGTGAAAAGGAAACCCATTCCAAAAGGAACTTGCAGGGGACCTTGGCCAGCTCCTTAAAAATGCCCAACTCATTTAGCAACCTATGCCTCCTTTCCAAAAGTGAATAATGTACCCCACAACCTGTTGACCGTCAGTGAGTTTCAGACTCCTAAGTGACTAAGGGTATCATTTTAAAAAATGCTTTAGTTACTTAGCAGCCTAAGTCCTCTTGAAGGCCAGTGAAAATGTTACTTGGTTGCTTTTGAAAAGGTTGCAGTCTAAGAAAAGCTCTCAACTTAAAAGGGGTCCCTGGTGATACTCACCACCTTATGTAATTAAAAGGTAGGGACAGATTAAACCAATTATAGCAATTGAAAGTGGGAAGACTTAATGCATTTCTAGCTGATTTGTTGTTCACTGTTTTCTGTGTCTTTTCTACCCTGCTGAAAGCAGAAACTAAACTGTGGTAATTTAGCAACCATGTCATTCCAGTATAAATTTCCCTTATTTAGTTTCACTTAGTGTGAGTTAGAAGTAGACATATGAAATGGTTACAGCAAATCAGCTGACCTACTCATGAGGTCAGCTCTCCCCACCTTCCTTTTTAAAGTGGCATTATTGTTTCATCTAACTACAGCTAGAATGGAGAAAATCTTGACAATGTGATTCCACTTTCAAAATTGATGCTATTGACTTTGTGCACTTTGCTAAGTTTTTTACTATGAAATCGGATTGTTGGGGTCTGCTTTCTAGCAACCTTTAGGAAACAGAGGAAGAAAATGTAACACCTGGTTTTTTCCTGTTCTGCAACTTCTCATATGTTCCTTGTATTGTGGTGTCAGGGCATATGTATGGCTTGTTGTTTGTGTGCATGTGTTCTCCTTGAAAGTTTTGTGGTTAGTATTGTGGGCCTTAAACAGGCTTGGTGAGAGAGGCCTGGATGCAACTTCTGGCCTTGTGAACAGATTCAGGAGTTAAAGTCTCCCAGAGGTTAATCCCTCCCTGCTTGTTAGTGAGGGGTTAAACTGAGCAGTGTAGAAGCCAGTTACTGTGTAAACAGGAGCAGCAAACTGGGGAAATTGTGGTGGGGAGTATGTGATGCCTTTTGCCATAGTACAGTTGTGTTCAACACTTGTGTGGAACAGTAGTTGTAGCCATTCATGGATGTGCTGTGTTTTCTTTGCTGCCTGAAGCCTCAAGGGGTTTTCTGTATCTGAGGTACAGGTTGGTAGTGATGCTAGAAGAACAAGTGCTAACAATGCAGAGCATCAGAGCCTGATGGGCCTTTGGAAAATGATATTTGAGGAACATCAACATCTCAGCTTCAAGAAAAAATAGACTTGATGACTAGGGAAGCAGAGACAGTGGATAGCTAATAGGTTTCATGGTGTGTAACCACCAGAGATTAACAGGCTAGTAAAACAATGAGAGAGAACAGGATTGGGGGGAATTCAGCGCATTCGGAAATATCCAGTTCTTATCAGATTCTCAGCATGGAAATTGCAAGAGAAGTCTCTGAAGATGCAGCTGGTAAAGTGGAATGGAGAGTTTTATGGAATATACCAGAGTGTGGCTGCACAGCTCAGTCTAAAAGATTATCAATTTATCAGCCATGTCAAGAAAGAGATCTCCAAGCATCCAGATAAGACAGACCATTTTTATGGTGTGTCCTGTGTTCAAAAGAATGGTAGGAGTGTACTGCAGGGGCGAACAGACAACAGGATGGTGCGCTGTCTTCTTGAATCCAAAATATGAAAGATGACTCTCAAACTGGATAGATTACTGAAGTGAGTGGGCAAGGTCCTGCTGGTGACAGTGTATATCAGCACTAACAGTATAGCTTTATGGGATATCTGTCACATTGGAGATGGCTTCAGAGAATTAAGAAGCAGTTTGAATTGGTGGAAGGTTAGAGTGGTTTTCTCAGAAATGTTCCTTTCCCTATGAGCAGAAGAAAGCAGAAGACAGGAGATTCTGGAAATGAACAGCTAAGTAGGAAAGTGGTACCTGGTTCAGGGGTTTGGTTTTGTGGAATATTGGGCCATTTTCTATGAAGAGAGTGAGCTTTATAGTTTGGATTACTTTCACCTTAATAGAAAGGAACCCAGTCCAGTAGGAGACAGAACTGTTTAAATCAGCATGTCCAGAAACTCTGCATGCAAGTTTTAGAAGAGCTGGCCAAGAAGCCTTCTGTAACATTACAGATGATTGGTTTTTGTCATTAATGCTCATGAAGTTCCAAAGGACTGGAAGAAAACTAATGTAGCCATATTTATAACGTATTTATAGAATGGCCTCTGTAATGATAAGCCCATTAGCCTGGCATCAATCCTGGAAAAATAATGGAGGGCTCAATTAATAAAAGGACTCAATACAAAAATGAGAAGGAAATATAATTTATGCCGGTCAAGATTAATTTAAGGAAAATAGATCTTGTCAAGCTAGTTTGATATCATTTTGATGAGACAAATGTAGCTGTAAAAGTGTTGCTGTAGTATTGACACTTAGGCTTCATAAAGCATTTGAGTTAGTACTGCACAACATTTCATGTAAGAAACTAGAACATGCCACATACTGCATGGGTTAAATCTGGCTAACTGAGAGGTAGCAAAATATGCTTGCAAATTATTAAAAAGTGCAAATACAGTAAGAACTCCTCAAGTGGGTGTACTTCTTGCGGTTCTTGGCACTATGTTATTTCACATGTTTTGTCAATTATCTGGAGGAAAACATCAAATTATTACTGATGATGTTTGCTAATGATGCAGGAATTGGAGAATGAAGACGAGGGCAGGTCACTGATCCAGGTTGAGCTGGTTTGCTCAGTAAATTAGATGCAATCAAACAATAAGTATTTCAACTTCTTTGAATGTAAAGCCATACATCTAAGAGCAAAGAATGTGGCTCATACTTACAGGTTTTGGGCGGGGAGTACTATTTTAGGAAGCAGTGACTCTGAAAAGGACTTGCTGACCATAGCAGATTATCAGGCAGACATGAGCTCCTAGAGGGATCCTATGACTAATACAATCCTTGGATGTAAAAATGGGAAATGTTGTTTGGGAATAGGAAGGTTACGTTGTCCATGTATTCAGTGCTGGTGTGATCACTACTGAAAGACTGTGCAGTTCTGGTGCCAATTCAAGATCCATATTAATAAATTGGTGAGGGTTCAGAGAAGAGGTACATGAATGATTTATGGACTTCATGACAAGAGACTCAAAGAGTTCAATCTATTTCATTTATAAAAGGCAGGATTAAGAGATGATTTCATCACAAAGTATATGGACAAACATAACTTTTGACCATTTTAAAGGGGGAAGGAGGCTGGTACTGGGGAGTGAGCTTCAGTATTACATTGTAACTGCTGTGGCTACGAGCTCCTGTAACAGGGCAAGTCAGCTACATCATTTTAGCTTTAATCGTGAATGGAACAGAGTGAAAGAACCAAGGATCTTACTACAGTTGTACCATTATAGGAGCATGCAGCTGTAACAGTTGTTTTCTAACAACCTATACCAATGTCATCTGCCATAGTTATGGACAGATGGTACAAATAATATTTAAGTTCCTACAAAGGAACAGAATTAATGGAGGACTCTAGCAAAAGGACTAAAAATAAGGTGCAAATATTTAACCATGTGAAGAATTAACAAGGGTTGAAATGGATTCTCCATCCCTGGAAGTTTTAAATGCTAGATTTGATCTTTTTCGAACAGAAATGCTCTAGTTCAATCACAGCTGCCGGACTTGATGCAGAAACTAATTCAGAGAAGCCCTATGGCCTGTGTTGTGCAGGCGGTCTGTTCAGATGGTCCCGTCTGTCCTTAAAATCTGTATATGAGTTTTGCCTTTTAGACTCTGCATTTGATTTTAAATCCATTTTACAATATCACCCCAATCTCCCTTCTCTAGGATATTGTATCTAGGGCAGGCCAGCCCAGTGTTTTGTATGCACTGTCTGATCAGTACCCTTGAAAATTAACTAAGCCATGCTCTCTGCCAGGCTGGAGAGCAGGAAGGCGCTCTGCCAGCTGGCTGGGATCCCTTCTGTCGTGCTGAACTGGCACATATTGGGCAGAGAGGAGCCATCTGCCTTTTTAACATAGAGAGGCAGCCCATGGTCTCTGCAGGTCACTCTCCACCTGTGCTAGGTAAGACCCTGTGATCTCTGAGCTGCCCCCTCGTCAACAGCATAAGGAGGGTAGACTTAAGCCCACATGCTTGAGATCCCAGAAGGCCATTCCCTTTCCATGAGGCCCAGCCCTCTGTCACTGATACCATTTCTGTTGTCTCTCCCATCAGGTGGCAGCAGTCTGCTAAGTCGTCGGGTTTGTCAAGCAACCTGCAGCCATCGGGTGCCAAAGCCGATGCTCTCAGGGAAGAGATGGAGGAAGCAGCAAACAGAGTGGAGATTTGCAGGGTACCTCTTGCTCTCTCTTATCTCACAGCAGCACAGCCTGTAAATGCTCTCATATCTCTCCTTGTGAACAGGGGAAGTTTAGTAGGGGTCAGGATCCTGGGGAATCTGGCACTTAAATGTTCAGACTTTTGCCAGCAAGCAGGGAGTTGGCACATGTCAATGATACCAAGGGATGTGTACTGCTCCCTGCATTCCTGGTCTCAGGCACCAGCATGAGAAGACGTTTGGCCTCAGGCTCCCTCACTTACTGCTGCCAGGACAAGAAGTGGCCTCAGGGAAAGGAGGCCTGTCTTGTTCATCCACGTGCAGCTCCAGAGCCTATCATTCACTACTTTGTTCAGCCTGGGGAGATCCCCTCCCACAGCCTGCTCCTGGAGCACCATTACCTTGTGTTCACAGTCTTCAGATACCCACTCCTGACCCCACTCTGCTATCCCTGTGTGGCTTGGAGAATCTCCTGCCTGCTCTCACCTTCCTCAGCTTGGGGAGTCTCTCTCTGATCCTTTCCCCTCCTCTGGTTCCTCCCTCCATAGTGCACACAGCCTGGGTATGGGAAGGAGTGGTCTCCTCCTCACATGCAGGCATAGATGCTGGGATGAACTCCAGAGCAGCTTCTGACTTGATGTGTCCTGCCCTGGTTGTTAGCAGTACATCCAGGCTGCTGTAACAGCACAGCGTTCTGAGCTGCAGCAGTGCAACGTGTTGTTTTGTCAGAGTCCTCAGAGGTAATCAGTCTTTTTTCTCTTGAGGTTTAGTTGATAAGTCAGTAAATGCAAATGGAAGTCAAAGACCTAGACAGAGAAGATCTTTTTACCCCTCTGCTTCATTCCTATCCCAACTCTCCTGGCAGTGTTGCAGCTAGAAAGCAAACTATTCCTCCATCCTTGGGGGTGTGGCAGGAGATGGGTGCAAAATTCAGTGCCAGTGTGAACCCCAATGTATTACTGAGGGAGAGGAGGTACAGTCTAGCCCAGTGATGGCCAATTTTTTTTAGACAAGGTATCACAAATTAGCCCTGCACTTTCCCAGAATGTCACTCCTATCTCCTTCCCCTGCCCAATCTGCTGCTCTGGTTTCTGCTTCCTTCCCTGTGCTCCCTTCCACATCTGCTGCTTTGCTTTCTGCTTCCTGCTCTGTCTGCCACTGTGTTGCATGTCCCCTTCCTGATCTGCCATGTGCCACACATGGAGGCTGCCCTTGCCATTTGTGGTAAACATGACACCGAGGTGGTCACCCATGGTCTAGAGGCAAAGGCTCGGGGTGAACATTATTAGATCTGAGGCCCAGTGTCTGCTGTGCACAGACTGAATGCAAGACTGGCTAGACCACTTCCCTGTTCTATGACTCTATTTCAGTATCTTGAAATTGTGGATAGTGATGCTCAGATATTGCCTCCCAGCAGGATATGGGGCTTGGTTTGTTATTTTGGAACATTAGGTGCGTTGAAAGGGGACACAATGTTGTCCAGTGAATGTAGTGCTGGACGGGGACTCAGAACACCTGCTTTTTGCTCCTGGCTCTGCTAATAGTTGATCTGGGACTTATCACCTTGCCCCACCTTCTCTCCCCCTCCCCCCACCCCCATTTCTTCCCTCAGTCTCTCCATTTCTAAAATGAGGAAACTGGCCCTCACCTCATTCCCACACCATGTTGATATGTACTGATGAACAGTACAAAGTAAGAGCTAGGTATCATTTTCTTGTAAATTGGTTTGTAATCCTTGAACAGAGTAAAGGGTGCTTCAGAAGCTCAGAGGATTAATATACACCTTTTGAGTGTAAGAGTTAAAAGTATTAAGTTTAAGAAACTTTTAACACCCACACAAGTCAGGACTTGTGAGCATTTCTCAGAATCTGGCCATTTTATTTCGATGCTGAAATGGAAACCAGGCTGTCTTCATTTTGGTCCTACAAAAGCACATACCAGCTCACATGGTGGAAGGGGTGTGACTGTGTATATTCAGTAATTCCAAACTAGCCTAAAGAGCTATTACAACAGAACTGCCATTTGCTACATGCATAATTTTATTTGGATAGTAGAGGTGATCAAAATTTATATATCTTTAAAAAGTACTCATGAGCAGTGTCACCACTTTCAATCGTTTACTTAAAAAAGGGGGGATATCTTTCTTTTTTTTCTAAGGTCTAAAATGTAAATAGGAAACTCAGAAAGTTGACATACTGAAGTTGAATAGACATGTGGCTCTGCATGTCAACTTACTGTGTAATCTTTTCTTTTGATCAGTAGTTTTGCTTTAACTGCACCCCTTCCCCCCAAGAATTACATAATAAATCACTGAAACTGTGTCAGTGTGCCCTAGGGTCTGGGGGCCTTATAATTAACATAAACTATGAAAAAATCTTACTGATGAGTTCTGCACTTTACTGGTTTTTGCAATAATGTGCTATATATATAGTGAAAAAGACAAATAGGGGGGAGGCAGGGAGAAAAAGCAATGAACTTTTTTTTTGATAGTTTAGGCTATATGTAATCCTTCCCTTAGGGAGCATGGAGTATTTGACTGACCAGTTGCTGCTTCTAACAAGCCTGCTTAGTATGAAGTTGTTGCGAACCATTGGCTAATTATAAGCTCCACATGGGGATTGTCTGTGTGCGTGCGTGCATGTATGTGACCGTGAGAGAGAATGAAACCTTGCACAACCAAGTAAAGTATATACTAATTGGTTTGGAATATGTTCAGTATCCAGGGCAAACATAGACATGATTGCTGCACAGAGAATACAGCTTTCCATCAGAGTCTTTTGTGCATGGATCCATTTTTTCTTTTTCCCCAGAGCTCTTGTGGTATGGAGTCATTTTACTCTGTCCATATAAAGTTGCTGTTTTGAGATAAATTATGGCTTTTGTCAAAACAGACACCACATGTATTTTCATACTCTTTGCATGCTTAATGCTGATTTTGCACATGAGAGTTTAGCTTTATTCCAAAGTTTATTTCTTTAAAGCAAGGTTGTAAACAGTCAGTGGCTTTATTCTGATTGGCCCATCTGACTGTGTATGTAGTTGTGGTAGAGGTCAGTGAGTTACTTGAATGTACGAGGAGGATCAGGATTCACGTTAATTGCATGCTTTCCTGAATTAATATGGTCATGGTCCTAATCTTGCACACTAACTTATTACCAGGAGTAGCCCCACTGAGATCAATATTTAGGATAAACACATGTGTAAGTGTTAGCAAAATTGGGATCCCTGAGTGGAATTACTGAATATATGTGAAAACAGCGACTTCTCAATACTTTGCCATAGCCAAGCAATGCATTTGTCTGTATGATCTACCTGTCCATGCATTGCACTTTGCATGAGTCAGAGGAGAGCTGCCGTTAATCAAGCAAGGAAGTACAAGGGCTGTTCCTGATTATCCCTAATGCACATTAATAATGGTTTGCCTACATTGTCCATTCTCATATGGCCGGTTTCCATCTCCCTAGCTCATGTCTGCATCTGAATGCATGTGTTATTTTGTTCAGGATTTTTGTGCATCTTTCCTGAAGCCAGAAGGCCACATGGGTCTGGGGGCAAAGCCTTATCATGCTTGTTATGAACATGGTTTGAAATGTGTCATTTGTTGATGCTGTTTCTTGCTGGCATAGATATCTAAGAACTTATTAAAAATATTCTCTGCAGTGCCTGATATCAACTTGGGCAAATGGCCTTCTCCATGTGAGATCTATGGCCTTATAGGGCATGTGTTGGGAAGGACAGCATCTTACAGAGCAACTGAAAGCCACTTGTCCCTTTCCTATTCTTAAGATATTAGAGGCTTAGAGGCCAAGATAGCAGGGTTTGCATTGGTTGACATTCTGTGTGAGAAATAAAAAATAATAAAAATAATGAATCTTTTGCTCAGAGTTAGGCAGAGTTTGAGCAGCTGCTCTTCAAGATTCCCGCCCACAGCTCTGCCAGTGTATCTTTATCCTGCTGTTCCAGGCCTGGTTCCCCTGGCCAGACCAGTATGCATTATCCTTGACCTGCAGCCCTCACCCCACTTCACCTGATGTCTTGGGCTTCTGCCAAAGCACTGCCACCAGCACCTGAGCAGAGACTGACTCTTGTGCTGACTTACCCCACTTTGAGGACTGGCTTTGTAACATGGACAGAAGGGCAGACAATTCCACATCAGCCCTTTCTAAAGAACCCTCAGATTCCATTTGCAACCTGAAGTCAGTATAGAGTTTAATCCACATATCCAGGGATGAATGGTTCTCCATTCTGTCATCTACAAGAGACTCTGAAATTCATTCTTTTATAAGGAATTCCAATAAAATCCCTGTGTTACTAACCCATCCTTTTCCCTTTGTAAGGTTACCTATCCTTCCCTGAGAGAAACTTCCCTACAAGTCAAAATTAGATTTTTTCTCAAAAGAAGACTGTTTCGAGCTCCATCTTCTCCACCTCCTATTTATACTTCCATTACCCTTCTGCCTGCACATCCATCTTCAACATCACTTTCACCATCATTATGTCCATCTTAGTCTCTGCGTTCATCTCTTGTCTCCCCATCCTGCCTCTATGCCAGTGATTCTCAACCAGGGTGCTGGGGTACCCTGGGGTGCTGCAAGAGCCTTTGAAGGGTGCTGCAGGAAGTGTGAGGAGATAAGCAAATAAAGGCAGGCTCAGGCTTCAGGTAGGGGAAAATAAGCAGATAAGGGCAGGCTCAGGCTCTCCCTGCCTGGCTGCTCCCCTACCCTTATTGTGTGTTCCCTCTGCAAGGAGGTAAGCTCTGTAATAAATAATTTTTGAAATGGGATGCCACTTAATTCACAGAAGGTATGGAGTGCTTTGAGTAATGGGGTGCCTTGAGTCTGAAGAGGTTGAGCACCACTGCTCTATACCATAATGCTCCATCATGCTCTCTGGTTCCATCTATCTCCATCTCTGTGTCCCACAAACATTCACTTCCACTTTCTGTTTGTTTCTTTAGGTGGACAAAGCTTATAGCATGGAGGCATGGTCAGAATACCTGTTGCCAGATCATTTGGTTAATATTCAGATATTATTTTCTCCATTTAAAAAAAAAATCACATTTAACCATAGCAAAGCAATAAAAGTGTTCTTTGTGGCATTTTTTCACACGTTTTATATTTACAAGTTAGAATTGTTTGAAAATTATAAAAATGTGACAATAAGACAATCAAACTGCTTTCTTCCTCTTCCAAGGCCAACAAGGGCCACATACAGGGCACCACTGACCATCCTAAGATTGCCAATTGGAGAGGCTCAGATGCTGAGCTGTTGAAGGTATATTTTTGATGGTAGCATTAGCTCCTTCATGGGGGTGGGTCTACATTTCTATGGGATACAGGTTCTACCTATTGCTGACCTTTGGAGGGGGGGTTGGGGTTGGTCTTTGATCATTTTTAAACTTGGGGAGATGGGAATATACTCCCAGAAATGAGGTGAAAGTAGACCATTAGCTATTGTACATGCTTCCCAGAAGTGCAGGCCAGTCAATTATAGCCTAATCTGGACCTGCAACCCCATCACCCACTTCTGCTATTCCCATACTCCTGGATTTCTCATGAGCAGAGGCTCACAGCTGCTATAAATTTTGGATGTAATCAGGGATATGACCCAATAAGACAAACCACTTTCACTTGTGCCTCCACAAGGACTTGAACACAGACCTCCATACACAAAAGGGCAAGTTTCCCAAACAGCTATGCTGTCTAACCCTGCTTTCCTTCCTTTCCATGCAGTGAAATTGCTGGATCTCTTTTTGTCATTTCTCTGGAGAAAAGCCTCTAATAAACTGATTTTGAAATCCCCGTTAAAAGTGACACTGGAGGATGGTTTTTATCTAAGCTACATCTTTAATAGAGTTGGCACCTAACTAGGACCTGCAAAGCTCTTTACACACTGGCATGTGCCAGATAAGCAATTGTGTATATAGATAGATACATGCACATCCAGATGTAGGTCTTGCACAGGAAGTCATAATATAGTGGGGGGCTACATAATACATGTAGGCTTTTGTGTTGACTTACCATGTGACCTCAGAGCAGGGCCAGATTAGCAGTGAAGTGGGTACTGAGGACTGTGTTGGTGACATGCAGATGTCTAACGTGCTTTTTTAGAATGATCATCAGTTGATTGATCAGGGAGAAGACTACCAGATATTTCAGATGGCATTAGATGGGTCAGTCCTGCAACGTTCTCAAGTGTCCCAAGGGCCAAATTCTGACCAGTGTACCAGCCATGGGATTCAGTGGGATTGTCCCCAGTTGCAGCACATCTGAGTCTGGGCCACCATGTCTATTACCATAAAAAAAACCTTCTTTCAGAAACCAAAGGGGGGGAATTACCAACTTACCAGCACCTCAGATCTCTGAATAGCTGTTCAAGGCAAAATTCTCATCTTCAGTAGGCAACGTGAGCAGGATTCTCAGACCAGGGTGCTGCAAGATCCTTGGGTCTCCTGGTGTGTTTGGAATTATCACTGAAGCAAAATGTTGAGGTTTAGATCTGACTTGTGGGTCTAACAGGGAGCATCTTACCCCGGACAAGGTATTTTTGTTTCAGTTCTCCAAATCCTCCAGCCTCCCCTTCTCAGCCTCATACCAGTAACGAAAGCTAAATCACAAAGATTCACTGAAGTCAGATCTTTGTATTATTTTTTTTTGCCCCACCTTTCTTTTAGTGTCCCCATTACCAGCAGTCAGGATCAAATGCAGCAAAAGGTTTGTATTGTTCTCAGGTGACCTTTCAAAATGGGACGTGATCTCAGTAGTATGTACAAGCACATCCGATCATGCGTCAACCATTCTGCCTGGAAATAATGGTGTCTAATGATGAGAGTGGCTGTTTTGTGTGACTTACCTCTGCTCATTTTGTGCTCTCCACAGGACCAGCTCTCAGCTGACATGTACAATTTTGTGGCCAAAGAAATAGACTATGCAAACTACTTTGAAACTGTAAGTCCAAAGCAGGCTTCTTTGCTTATATTGTTTCCTTTTGCATGGTGCCCTATTAGAATAATAATCAATTCCTAGCTGGGATGCTCCCTCCTACCACTTCTACCGCTACCAAAAATCCTACCCATTTCCACAGTAGGATGTAATATGTCTTTTGTCTTTTCCCCAGTTAATAGAAGTGCAAGCAGAATACCATAGGAAGTCATTAGCACTTTTACAGAACGTGTTGCCTCAGATAAAAGCACAGCAGGGTGAGTGTACAGTGTTCTTCTTTCTTTACTGCATGCTGAGTTAAGGGGGAGGGTCAGGGTTTGGTTGCCAGGTGACTAGGGCAAAAGTCATGATGATGCAGCCCCTTGTTCTGCATTACGTCGTCATCCATGGGGTGGTGAGAACGTTCCCATTCCTCTGAAGCATCAGGTCTTGTTCACTGCTGCAGGCAGGATCGGAGCATAACAGTACAGGGGTTGCAGCGTACTGCTGGAGAATGGGCCTCCACTTAGTAGGGAAGCCACCGTTTTCTATGCTGGGATTTGGCTGCCACAGTCTGGATCAGTTTTGCTCACCATCGTGCTCAAAACAGGTTAATTGGGCAGTAAGTTCCCTACTGTGTTCCCAAATTACTGATTTTATTCACATATGAATCCCTCCCAAACCTCCTGCCCTGAGATGGCTGTCTTTACCGTGAACCATCAAAACCTAGTCACCTTCTATTCTTTCACTGTGCCCAAGTCAATCAGTTGCAACCCAGCAAAGAGAGTCAGCCACCCCTCTCCCACTATAGAAAATCAGTCCTGCATGCTGTCTCGTTCCAACAACTCAGTTTCTTTTCCCCCCCCAAAAAACTTACATTGCTCTATTTCTCCTTCCCCTGAGACTGATTTCCCAGACACATTCAAATGAGCCTTCCCCGCTGGAACTTAGCTTTCTCCCTCACTCAGAGCTGTGTGACGAGCTGCCAAGAAACGTCCATCCTTAAGTTCCAACACATGTTATATGTAGGGTGTGCCATGCATTAGGTCTGTGCGAAGCAGCTAGTATTAGCTTCAGATTCAGCCAGTTTGGGGGACAGTGATTCGATTCGGTGATTTGAATCACTGTCCCAAATCGATTTGGCCGAATCTCTGAATCAGCCAGGCCCATCCTCCGCCCCTCTCCCAGCCTGGCAATGGCTGCCCCGTCCACCCCAGCTCCCGGCACTTGGGGAAAAAAAAAGCCCTGACTCAGCAGGTGCTGCCGGGCGGCTGCCCTCCGCCGCCCCGCACGCCCCCCCCCCCTTCCCTCGCCCCGCCATAGCTGCTCTGCCCACCCCAGCTCCAGCCCTTTAAGGAAAAAAAAGCCCCAGAAATCCTGCACTCACTAGTTCCTGCCTGGTGTGGGGGCAATCTCTGCTGCCCCGCACTGCGTGGGGTGCTCTGCATGAGTCTTGCAAAGCCCTGAGGCTGCTGCAGGAGCTGGTGAGCCCGTGGGTTTTTTTGTTTTTGTTTTTCTTAAAGGGCCGGAGCTGAGGTGGGCGGGGCAGCCATGGGGGCGGGGCTGGGGACCCACAGTCTGATCCCCGCTCCCCACCCCCTACTTATCAGCTCCGAGTCCAGCTGCAGCCTGAACCATTGAAGCTCTCCAAATCTTTTCCAAAGATTCAGAGAGCTTTGAATCAATTTGGACCTTTTTATTGGTCCCCTGATTCAATTTGGATTTGGAGATTCGGCCACCAAATTGGGCCGAATCTCCTCCAAATCGAATCACCACTTGAAATTTGCACAGCCCCGCCATGCATTAAATAAATGCCTGGCCCAGAGTCCAACTTAGTCTAGGCCTAGCCTAGGCCTTTTCCTGTTTGCAAATCCCCCCCAAGATCCTGCTCCTTCATGTTGCTTGTATTACCCCAGTTTGTCTCCACCTTTCACTGCCGGCTGTGTCTGGGTGGCTTTGCCAGCCCTGTGCACTTTAGGTTAAGTTAGGTCAGAATAAGAGGACAGTTAATGAAGTTCTTGAGTATAGAGAGCAGAAGGTAAAACAAGACTAGATGGGACATTGTCTTTTACTTAACCTATAGCATATGTTAGAACCTGAAGACAGAAGTTTCTTGGTGTTAGGCTTCCTTCAGAAAAGGAACTTCCAGCTCCGTCACTCGAATAGACCATGCAGGCTCCTGACCCCACCTCCAGGAATTGGATTACTTCCCCTCTCCATTCTCTATGGCTGCAGTGGAAATGACGTGGGTATATTCACACATGGGCTTATTAACCCTGAGATACATGCATGCACCGTGCTCACCTCCCCTCTCCCACCAGAGTGCAGATGCACAACAAACTGACCTGCAGACAGATGCAGCCTTGTATACCCACATACTCAAGTATCCCTGAAGGTGGACATTAGATGGGAAATTCTAGGGTCTTGTTGGGATTTGCTGATCAGGCAGAATAAACCTGGCTCTATATGCCTTTCTTGGTAAGGAAACACTATTTCTCAGTCTGCCCTGAAAAAGGTATTGGTAACAAAATCTCTCATTTTTGCATGCAGTCCCCGAAATATCTAGAAATGTGCTTTCATCTGTCCCCTGGGCCAAGCATACATCTCCTTGTGGAAGAAAGTTACTGGAATCCAGGAGGCTGAGAGCTAGTTTGTTTATGGCCCCACTTTCAATACACAGGATTTCATTGGTCCCACAAGGCGATCTTGCTTGCAACTGGAGTCTTTGTCATTTTAAAATGAAAGTCCTGTAGTAATTGCTTGGCAGCCTGCTTACAGCATGGTGAATAGCACCAATAGCGTTCTGTTCCTCATAGTTGCAGAGAGAGCTGAGCTGGAAATAAGTTTTCATTCTGCATTTTTTTAATTAAAAAAAAGAAACCCTCCCTTAAATTGGGCCAAAAGAGTCAAAATCCTGAAAATTTTTTGCAAACCAAAAATCTGTTCAAATCCAGTGGATGGTTTTGTTCAGATGTTTTGGGAACATTGTGTTTTGATTTTAATCTTTTTAATTGTTTTACTTTAACTTTAGTTTCATTCTTGTGTTCTTGTAAATTCCAGCTGCAATGCCTTGTGGCAGCCTTGGGGGATTTCCATCCCTGGGAATGCTGGGAGGGTTTATTCCAGTATAAGCCTTTTGTCTACAGAGGCATGAGAAAAAGTAGTATCTCAGATCATTAGTGAATTGAGTCAGAGGCGGGTGCCATCCAAAGTGCATCCTGAATCCAGCAGACAAAATGGCAGGCCATGTTAGAAGGAGAGGCTCAGGACAGGATTAGCTTTAACAGAGGTATGCAGGGAATCTGGGACAAGGCTTACCAGTGCTACTAAGGGTATGGATCCTTCTGGCCCAGCAGTTTCTGTACACTAAGTTCACAAACAAGTATTCAAATACCCTTGTCTCAATGACCGTACTAGTGATTCCCAACCAGGGGGCCATAAGAAACTTTTGAGGGTGCTGTACAACTGTTAGGTATGCAAACACCTAAACATGATGCACAAGAGAAACCCAAAGATTTCAAATAGAATTCATACCATCAAAAACATTCGTACCTCTTTCCGTGCTCTTTGCAACAGAGAAACTGCTCTGTTATTTTTTCACGCTCAATAAATGAGTGAAAAAGACTAGGGGGTATTTTCCAAACAATGCCTCGAGTCTTACAAGGGGTGCCATGAATTACAAATGTTGAGAATCATTAGGCTATATATTCTGAGGAGAAGTAACAATAATGTTATAAATAGATGCTTTATGAAGCTCTGAGTTTGGACCCTCACCTTTGGCAGGGACTCAATATTGTGCCGAGGCAAAATGATCAACTGCCAAGAGCAGGGGATGGATAGGGATTCCCTCACTAACCTGACTCCAGGTGGCCATGGGGCAATGCTGGGAGAAGGTTGAGTTTCAACATGAGGGCCCCTCAAGGAGCTGGGGGGTATCATGCTCCAGAATCACATAGATCTAGATATGAAAGCATCCGAGACATGCGTAGTCCCCCATCCTACTCGTACAGATGGGACCTGGTCTGCATGTGTATAGGGATGCTCACATCAGAAACCTCCCTATGCCAAGATAGCTCAGTATCTGTGGATACTTGGCTGCTGTAGACTGTGGGGTCAGTGAAGGTATAGCTACACCAGCCAGTGAGCAAGCTCTCCCTAATCAGCCATTAATTCCTCTAACTCTCCCTCTCTCTGCTTTGAATCCATATAACAGAAGCTTGGATTGAGAAGCCCTCCTTTGGGAAGCCCTTGGAGGAGCATCTGGCAGTCAGTGGGAGGGAAATCGCCTTCCCCATTGAGGCATGTGTGACCATGCTGCTTGAGTGTGGCATGCAGGAGGAGGTGAGTAGGGGGACCCACCTCCCCTCCCAGCTGGACTATTTTATTCCAAAACAAATACTTCAGTGCTTTTTTTTTCTCCAACTCTCCCAAGACAAACACTAATACATGTCTGAACATAGGTTAAGTCAGAGCAGTCATTATGGTACAAGAATAATAATCATCCCTTTTGGCATTAAGATCTATGAAAAGTACCCCCCTTTATTTCTCTACTCATTCTTCCTAGTGTTTCCAGAATTTCAGGCCAACTTAAACATTCAAAAGTCATGGGTTAGGTTTCCAAGAATTTGAATCAAGCCCCTGCTCTTCTCCCTCTGTTCCTATTTGCAGCCTTTAGTTTAATTATAAGAGTGAAGATTGCAGCCTTCTGAATCATTAAATAAACGTCTTTGGAGATTGGGTTGTGATCACAGTATTTTCTAACCTGTGGCACATGTAACCTTGCGGGTAATGTGGCAAATTTCTAGAAGCAGAAGGAAAAAGGGAAATATATATAGAGGAATAGAAGAAAAAGAAAATATGAAAATAGCTCTATAGTATAGAATAGTCACCTAGTCCAGTCCCATGTACAAATGCAGGACACATTATTCCTAAAACACCCCATGCAAATGCTTATCTTGGCTCTCTTTAGAAACCTCTAATGAAAGAGATTCCCCAGCTTGTTCCATTGTCTTACCATTCCAACATTTTTCCTAAATTTTAATTTAAATCTGCTTTGTTGTAGTTTAAAGCCATTGCTTCATGTCCTGTCCTTTGTGGCAAGGGAGAAGAGTTGTTCACCTTTTTTATATCTCTTAGGTTGTTGGAGAAGTTGCTGTGTGGTTGTAATGACCTGCAGTGCTACTTGTTATTATCCATCACACGGAGTCATAGGAATATACAAAAATTTTACAAACTTAAGAGATACATGGCCACCAAAAAATTAGAAACCCCTCATCTAAGACATTGTGCGTGTGTAAATCAGGAACATTTCCACTAAAATCAGTGGGGAGATACTGGTGTAAGAGAGAGCAAAGGCAGGTCTCAAGTCTCAGATCTCTTGCTTTTTCCCACTTTGGTAGAGAACAAGGAAGATAGGAAAGTAAATTCTGCATTTTCAGAACAGCCAAAACCAGGCCAAACTTAGATATGCAATTCTTATGGACTAAGCAGGCCCAATGCATTGTGATGTAAATGGCTCAAAGAGTACACGTGGTTAAGCAGCTTAATTCAAAGTTATTCTCTTGCACAAGTTCATCTCCAGCAGGAGATGATCATATGAGCATTTGATCTACAGCAGGAACAAATTAATTCCACTGTGTTTAAGCTCCTGGCAGACATTACAATAAGACATACCTAATTTGTTAATCACACCATAAATAGTAACCCTGCCACACATTCAGACAAGTAGTGATGCAACAAAATAGGAAATAAACCACAAAAATATTCCACAAAATACGTGTAAAATGTTTGTGGTTCATTTCTAGCATGCCTTAAATTGAATGTGTGGCAAGGTAGCCTTGCCGTGCACCCTGATGCAGGCTGCATAGCAGGGCTTGGTTGACAGCTTCTCCATGTTTGCAGGATGACAGTTGTGTGGTGCAGCCCTGCACTCTGCAAGTTTCAAGGCGCCAAGCTGAGGGGAGCTCATTAGCTGGCCTGAGGTGCTGGGTCCCTGCAATCCAGCATGGCACTTGCTGCCCTTGCTCCGCAGCTCTGGTGGGGGCTGAGGAACAAGGTACATTCTGGTGTCTGATCATGGTGAGTCACTGGGTCACTGGGACCTAGCAGGTTGACTGCCTTGCCCTGCTGCTCCCAGGGAGCTGTGGAGCAAGAGGCTTGACACATCCCAGCCATGAGGACCCTGGGATAGGTGAGCACTTTGCTGATCTCAGGGTCCCAGTGTACCAGGGTCTTTAAAAAGCATGTGCAGCCCAGCTGCACACCTGGTGTTCTGACATCCCTGGCACATGGGGATCCCAAGGACAGGGAACCTCTCCCTGATCCCAGTGTGTTGGGACCTTAAAAAGCTGCATGTGCAGTTGGGCAGCAAATTAGGTTTTCTGACATCCCAGTGCACTGGGTCTGGGACTGTGACCACACCAGCATCTCAAATTGGCTCCAGTGAGGTCCCAGGGCTGAGATCAACCATCGCCGATCATCCCAGCCCCAGGACCTCACCAGAACCAGTTTGAGATGTGGTGAGGTCCTTGCAGTTGTCATGCAGTATTGTTAGCCCCAGCTCCAGGACTGCACTGACATCTTAAACTGGCTCCTGTGCAGTCCTTGGGCTGGGACTGACAGTCAACTATTTGTTGGTCCCAGCCTTGGGACCACATTGGTTCACACCGGCTGTGGGCCCCCAGGTTTCGGCTTGCTGGTGCAGAGAAGTCTGGGATCTTTGGCCCCCTGCTCCCCCTACACTGGCAAGCAGTTAATGGTATGGTTGGGATCTGATCCCAAAATCATGACTCCTGCCATGAGCATGTTGTGCGTGACTGGGATGTGTTGGGATTGCAGAGCAGATCCCCTGGTGCCATTAAAAGAACATGTGCCAGGGGCTTAAGATTTTAGCTTTCATTTGCTCAGCATCTTGCAGTCCTGAGCAGCACCTTTCATAGGGCAAGTGAGCATTCAGCTCTTCCACAGGGCTGTTCCTGTAACACAAGTGGCTGATTAGATAAGACTTCCCACCCCTCCCTTATGGTTTCAGCATTTAGAGTCTGTTGATCTGCCTTTGGTTGGCTCGTTTTCCTAACAGTGTCACATTTTTCCTAGGACAGTTGGTCTCAGTTATTTATCAGCATTTTGGAGACCCAGATAATTCCTTGTCTACAGAAAGTATATTGCTGTTCAGAACCACATGGGCAAATTTGCCTTTTCTTTTTGTTTGCCTTGAAATAAGAGTGGGAAAGCAGGAAAGATGATTTCAAGACCCGAGGAATTGGAGCATAATCTACTGGATTCATTTGCATGCACAATGTCCTTTTTATGACAGTCCTTTCTTAGAGACAGACATATTAGAAAGTTTCCTGTCCCTCATCATTAGACAGAAACCGGGACTGAATGGATAATGGAGAAACCAACCTTCATAGGTTTGGTGAAGCACCTGTAGACTCTCAGAATTATTTACAATTCTTTCATTTGTAGATTTGGGCTGAAAATCTTCTCAGACCACAAGCTCCTGATTGTCTTCTGATTTGTTTTCTTGGAGGGAGGGGGCAAGGGAGCTGGGTTGACTGGAGAAAAGGTTAAAAGAAGCAGAGGCTTTGCCTTTCCAGACTCTGCCAGAATTGAGAAAAGCAGCTGAGAAATTGAAATCCTGACTTTAAAAAATATTGAGAGGCATCTTGGAATCTCCAAATCAGTTTGGTTTGATTTTGGGTCACAGCTTTGGGCTGCTTCCTCCTCTATGCTGATTAGATCATTCATCTCTGTAGCTGATCCTGCCAATAGCAAACCTTTGTGCTTTCCCCTACATTGCCCCCCTCCTTGCAAGGAGCTCCCTGCAGACCTTTGCAAAGCCATCTCACGGTCCTTTAAATCCCTTCTTTGCTGTGCTCTCCATTAAAACCTAGGTGACAATTAGTGCTGGTTCCTAGCCTGTTGACCTCATTTTCTTGTGCTTCCTCCGTGTCCATCTGTTTTCCCTTGTCTCAGATTGAAAGCTCTTTGGGACCATCTTGTGGTTCTGTGTTTGTACAGCATTTAGCACAATCAGTCCATGACTGAAGTTTCTCAGTGCAATTACAGTTCAAATAATAATGAGGGGAAAAAACAGTAGCTTCAGTAAGACCTACTGATTGGTTTGTTTTGGATCATGAACTGGGTCATTCATGCTTCCCTCTCAGTTCAACCTCTTAGTGAGCCTAGGCTACTCACAAAGCAGAGATTAGCTGTTCACCTAATTAGATCTATGTTCCCACAATCCCAATGTGCCCTAATAATTCCTAAATCTGTCCCCTCATTTTCTCAGGCAGGCACATTGAAGAATGCAAAAACATCTAATTCTGGTCATTGCTTGTCAAAGCTAGGAAGGACAGAATTTTGTTTATATCAGCAGATGAATCGAGCATGACTGAAGATACCCTGGACGCACAGACTTCTAGAGAACAAGTGACCTCCTCTCCGCCCTGGCCTGATTTTGCCCTACATCAGGGGTGGGCAAAATATGGCCCGTGGGCCAGATCTGGCCCATGGAGGGACTTTGTCCTGCCCACAGCCGATCCCTCAGTTCCGCCTAGCCCAGGCGCTGTCCAACCTGTGGCATGTCCTGTTGCCCCCTGGGCATGCAGCAGGGCTGGGGCAGCTCCACAGCTGGACTGCCTTTCTAGGGAGCCTAGACAGTGGCAGGTCCTAGCTGTCACCACTGCTGGCACCAGCCCCATGGTACTGGCAGGGACCTGTGCACACAGCTCCAACCCTGGCCTGCCCCACAGCCACTCCAGACTCGGCCCGCTGGTGTGGACCAGCTCCAGACCAGCCGGACCTGCATGCACAGCGCTGACCCGGGCCTGCCCTGCACCTGCTCCAGACTCACCCACCCGCGCAGAGCAG